CATAATCTTAATCCTATTTTCTTTTTGGAAGTAACACCAAACCTGCATGGGGAAGAAGTTGGAGTAGATGCCCTCCAAAAGCGCTTCTCCGCTCTAGGGTTATAGGGCATTGTGCTTTCAGATCGTCCAATGCAAACCATAGAGATGTTTTTAAATTCACTGCCATAGATTTACTTTCTGAAGTGGCACCACACTCCTCCCCACCCTCATTGCAGTTCTAGGCGCAAACTAAGCCATTTCTGGTGCTCGCGCTCTTCTACACCTTTGTCCTGCATTAATTCTCAAGTAAATGTCTTCGAACAAGTTAAAAAAACCTGGGAAATTTAAATATTTTTTGCCCTTTATCTAGATGTATGCATTCCGAAGCTGGTTTCAGCCAACATCTGTTTTACATTCCGATTTGCTATCTGGTCTACTGGGAGCCGCGGATTGCAAAGCAGGCTGACCTGGGGTCTTAGGCCGGGTGGCAGCCGTGGAAAGTCCATTCCCAGGGAAAGTACCTTTTCGTTTCCTCCGCGCGCCGAAGAGCTCCTGTGACCATTAGAACTCACTCAAAAGCCTGATTCCCCAAATCCAACGAAGCAGAAATGTGCACGTGCAAAATTATTTAAACCAGGCAGTTCGCGGTCAGAGAATCAGCGACCAGTAGCCTTTCTTATCTGGCTAATTACCTCCCGCCAATAAGTCGGTAACTCTAACCAGATCAGTCTCGGGGGTGGAAGCGGCCTGGGCAGAGAGCAGCGCTCTCTAGTCGCGGCGGCTTCAGCTCTCCCCATCGGGGCCCACCGGAGCCGGTCCTCGCCTAGCGACTAGATAGAGAGCCTCTCGAGGTCGGTGGCAACGAGCCAAGGCGAGCGCTAGCACCGGGCGACCTCGCTTTTCCTTTGGGGCCACGCGAGGCCAGTTGGTGGGAGAGGGAGGCACGTCTGCTCTGCGTCAAAGAGCCCGCCTGCACAAAGGCACCATTCAGCGGCAACCCCAAGCTTGGAGCAAGCAAGAGGCCAGACTCGCTTGCTCGCCGTTTCCGAGCTAAACAGGAGAGCCCGCCGGTTCGGTTGGATCAGGGCACCCGGGATCGGCCTCCCCGCCGCCAGCTGAAAGGCACCCGCTTTCCCTTCTCCGGCCTTGCGGGAGGAGCCCTCGCGCTTCCAGGTTTGCTCAGATCCGTTCCAGGGAGGCCCAAACGCCACGGGCATAAGACGGATTCCTGAACCCTCTTCCCGCTGCTGCGCCCTGGCGGGGGTGAGGGATGAGGGACAAGGCCCTGCGGCAGATCACCTGTGGTTGACCTCCCTCCTGCTCCTCCTCGCACGTGTGTCATCAAAATAAAAAGAGGGGCGGGGAGCAGCCGAGAAGTAAATACTGAGTAATAAACAGCAATCAAGAGGCGAAACTGAAAGAAGCTGTCAGCCTTCAAGGTTTTTCTCCCTTTGCTTTGCATCTTTCGGCTGTCATAAGTAAGGGTGGGGGGAATGGTTATGGGAAGTGAGCTGGAGGTGTTACAAACCAGAACTGTATAAGCTGGGGGGGGGGTACATTCTTGCTTACGTTTCTATCCTATGCGCAGCTGCAACCCTCTATCAAACTATGTCAAGGTCAACGGACAGAGGCCACATCACCACCTGGAGATGCCCACATGATGATATACACAACTTTTAATTGGATGAGCCAATTGAACTATTGGGGATGGGAACGTTGCCATTACTTTGTATATGTGATTTACGCTCCTATTTTCTCAGATTCAGAATTCTTTTGTTGCTACCACTTGATTTCCAGTAAAATATCTTTTCTCTGATTAAAGGAGTCTAGGTATTTCTTTCTTGGATTTTGAATGGAGCACCAGCTGACAGAAGCGGCTAGCTGCTGAGCGACCTTGACAGGGTCCCCGTCTCCCCCCCCCCCCCAGCCAGCTTTTATTGAAAGCAGTCGGGCTGGGTGGGCTGCCGTCTGCCAGCGCACCGAAGTGGAAGGCTTGCTTGCCCGATCTTGTCAATGCCGGCTAAGCTGGGAGATGCTGCCGGAGAGGTAAAACTCTCCCGCTCTCCTGACAGCAGCCACGATCTCAAGGCACTTCCCAGCTCCCTGACTGCTGACTAAGAGAGAAGGGTGGTCTTTGCTGGGACTTTTTCAGGGCAAGTCCATCTGGGAGTCAGTCCGGGCACGCTGTCCTTGTGCAGAAAGAAGCCGCCTTTTCTCCAAATCTCTTGAGGCATCTTTTCTTCCTTAGGGGATCCCATTATACCCAGTTTGCAGCTTCATCCTGCAATCTGGCTTGTGTGATTTTAGGCCATTCTACAGGCCTTCCTTCTCTAAGATCAAACATTTAGGGACATTTGAAACAGCTGGATGCCAGAATAGGGCCCGAACTTTGCTGCTTTCCCATGAGAAGCAAGTTGCACTGATTTGGGGGTGGGCTGCCACTTCCAGAAAGCCTTGGCACAAAGAGAAAGGTTTGCATCAGCCAAGCTGCCTGTGTGCCAGTGCCTGCACTGAAGCCATTTTCTTAACCAGATTTGTTGGCCCAATATCATTTCCCACTCAATGTTATAGGTACTTCTCAGGGAAAGCAGGAATGAAACAGAATTCCTATTCCTCTCCCTCCCCCAGCCTGTCCCCAGATCTAATCCTCAGAAGATTTGGCTGTGACTGCTGGAAAGACAAGAGTAAGTCGTGCCATTGGAAATCCACTAAATGAGCAAAGGAGCACTCACATAGTCTCCCCCACTGTCTCTCTGGTTTTTCTCATGAAGAAAATTGGGGGGGGGGGAACATTGGTCCAAAAGAATGAACGACCCGAGAGACAGAACCACCTTAAGTGTAAGTGCTCTTTTCTGTTATCTTTGTGTCAGCTGGTTGAGGTCAACAATGCTTTCCGTATTCCAGTGGAGTTTTCGAGGTTCCTATCCTGAAGTCCAAAAGCTGAATTGTGAGTGGGTTTGAGGAGCGCTGTAAGAATTGTCTCCTACTCCATTCCCCCCTCCCTTGAACAAAACTGAAACTGAATGGAAAGGCAACAGCCATCCCCCCCATCCCTTCAGTCCAATTTCCTTCTCTTTTCCTTGGCTTCTTATATGCACAACAACAAACACAAGGGATTCAAACTGGCTAAAACTGAGGTATATAAAATACTTCTTATGGAGATGAACACAAGCTTAATTCTCTCTCACACACACACACCCCCACACACACACTGAACACAAAGGTTCTTTCCAAACCTTTCCTTTGCTCGTTATACTTTTATGACCCTCATAAATTATGAGATTCTGTTAACATAATATTCTATAGTCACTGATTGTATAAAATGTGCAAAGTTGATGTTCTATTCAAAATAATTTTTAGAAGAAGCCTAAAGATTCCTGCCACTCAACACTCATAGTCAAAAGAAAAGTTGGGATACAGTAATCCAACCAAAAAGTATATTACCACGATCAACGCTCTCTAAATCTGGCTAGTAAGCCTGATTTAAAAGTAGATCAGATAAGCAGGCTATTAGAGACCAGCTGAAACCAAAGCTAAGTAAGAAATCTGTTTCACTCAGTTCAACTAGATGCAAGATCCCGTCTTAAAAAGAGACACCGATCAATATCAAGAATCTGTTAAAACCAAACTATTTTTCCATTTAAAATCTTAAATAGGTCTATTTTGTTCAAATTATTCAAATATCTTCCGATGAAGTGATTTGGAGATCTGATTATATAGATTAAAATGTTAGTCCATGTTCTTTGGATTGTATTTAAGAAATTAAAAAGTAACCCATGTTATTTCAAAAGTAAATAAGAATTTATCCAAAAATCAAGGATAAGTTCTATAAATTCTAAATTTAAATTTCCATGTGACTCCTTTCTTGAGATTAAATCCCACATTACTTAATATAGTTCCCTTCAAAATACATACAAAATACACAGCCTCAGTGCATTGTCCTTCTAATACTTCAAAACAATTTAAAAAGAAGCATTAAAAAATTACTACAATACTGCAATTGCTTGTGATTAATTCCTTAGTGGAAGTAAAAATAAAAATCCAAACAACTAAACCCAGATTTAATAGTACTACCCTTTGTTTCTGGGCCCTCCTTTCTTATCTCCTTGGAGGCCCAGCCAAGGTAAGAAGGCGCCTGATTGATCAATTCTTAATTAAATTAGTCTGAATTTATTTACTATTTGTGGCCCTTAACAATCCAGGGACAATTACTGCCAAGTGTTGCCCTTAGATTAGATCAGCGATTTGATAGGTTGCTTTCTCTTGAAAATTTACACTAGTAGAGCTTATCTTCACTGCTTCTCTGATGGTAGACCAGTCCCTCTCTGCTAAAAGATTGCATTGGTTGATTGGTTAGTTATTGTGGGAAAGGCCTTCCTTGTATCCCTCAAACTCCTCTATTCAGGGATTGACCTAAAGGTGAGCTTCTTCATTTGACAAGACTTAACCTTATGCTCCTGCAGTCATCCCCCAAGGCAATTTATTCTATTTAAGAAAGAAAAAAAAAGGCAGAGAAATTATAAAAGAAGGTGGGTGGGAATCCAAATAATTGGTAGGCGAAGGAAGGGGGGGGGTGAGCTAGTTGCCCTTAAAAATTCCTCCCACTCACAATCATAAGAATCATTAGAATCAGCTAATGATTTTATGGAATCTAATCTAGCATTAGTTTTGGTGGACTAGAAGCATAGACTAGACCACAACAATATTGGAAATCTTTATGATACTTCTGGACTTCTTTCACTCTTTACATTTTGAAAATTAAAACAAACAAAAATAACGCGCACGCACACACACACAATACGAATAGCCCCTTTGTCTAGAAGGGGGAAAAAGGTAGGGGGGAATATATGTTTAGGATCCAATCTGGGTCGTCACCGACCCAGGTTGCATCTCGCAACATTATCCTGGGACAGATACATTTGCCTTCATTTGTGAAATAAATATTCAGTTAAGAGTGTTTCATATAAATGAATAATCAATAAAGAATGCTAAGGCACAAATAACTATTAAAAAGTCAAACAGGCTGTAAAAGGCTTTACATACTAGGATGAGAGAAAGGGGGAGAAACATATATTAAAAATGATGTACATTCAGAAAGGTTCAATGCAATATTAGACATGCTTGCTCAGAAGAAAAAGTCCTGCACAAATTAGTGGCATTTACTTCTGTGTAAACATACTCAGACATGAAACCAGAAAATGCTGCTAAAAATAGCAGGTTTACATACACCCATTATTTGTTTCTGGACCTTTTTATGACTTCTGTAATGCCGCCTTCCTTTATGCGTCATATAGCAATGCCTGTAAGTTCAATTAGCCAAATGTCTCCTGACCTTTAGTTCTAATGCAAGTCAATTGTGATGGCTTGGCTGCTCAGATGTTTGTGAATTTTTCTCCTAGTGAATTTTTCTCCTAGATTCCAAAGATATAATAAACATAAATCTCAAAACTGTAACCATAATTATTCTATCAAGCAAGTGATTGATTCAGAGCATTTGTTTTATGTCACTTTTAACTTCATCCAAAAGTCCATCTGACAGTGCATTCCATTGAAAACAGGGTAAAATAGATGGAATCAATGGTGGTTTACTTACTGATAAAATAATTCAGCAGTGAAGCTATAAATTAAAATAGATTTGCCAGCACTCAAAAGTCTTGCAAATACAGTTACTCAGAAGGTTTTTTTTTTAATACAAAACTATTGTTTTATCACTAAAAATAATAATTATTCGTGTTTTTGGCTGATAGATTTCTAAAAAATTTAATTTAAAAAGAGGGATGAATGTATCCAGACTCTTGGTCCAATTGAATGGTAATTTATTAATAAACAGTCAATAACTTCAAGGGTATCTTCAACAACAACAAAAGGAAAAATGATAAAATGATAAAATAAGATTAATACAATCCCCCTTTTTTATATATAATGGAAGAAGAAGAAAATGAGAGTTTCAGGTCATTTTAAAGTCAAGCGTTGTTGTTTTTTTCTGATAAAGGAGTGGGGCAAACATTTTTGTTGTTTGGTCCGAACGATTCAACAACAGATTTAAAAATAAATTACTATGTTCCATTTACACTTTAAAACAAGTCTTTGTGTACAAAACAGTCCTTTACGAGAGTGGGGGGGGGGGAGCAAGAAAAAGGAGAAGAAAAGGAGAGAAGAAACAACACGTGTACTGCGCAATCCAGGTTGCGTAGGAGTCAACGGGCAAAAAACATTCTTACTGCTTTTTGGAAAAGGCGATGCGCCTGGTTCACAGAGGGGCGAGGGGCCCTGGCTGGAATCAAACGGCAAAACTCCCACCCGTGTTTTTGGGAGTCTCGTTTCGCGGCCTGCCTTGCGCGCTCAGTTGCGGGGATGCGCCTCCTCGGGTCGCCATCCAACCAGTCAAGCGCAAGGCAGGCAGCCATCCAAGCAGTCTGGCGCAGGGAGAGCGCGCAGATGGAAACTAGGGGGGGGGGGGGGGGGGGGGGGCGGGGGAGTTGGGAGGGGGGAAGGGGGAGAGGGGGGGGGGGGAGAAAAAGCATACAAACTTACGTGTTATTTGGTGTAACACTGTCCTTAAACAAACCATTGACTTAATAATTATTTACTGGGCAAACGCCGTCTTTGCACGGAATAGTTTTGGGGTTTTTTTGTTTTTTTTCCCCTCTGGTTTGGTGGGGGAAGGAAGGCCGGCAAGGGCCCGTATGGCAGTTCTTCATATCAGCCTCCCCGCTCGCTCGCTGGCTGGGCTCGGCGCCTCTTTCCCTTCCCCCGCTGCCGGCGGTCAAAACTTGCTGCAGTCGTAGACGAAGGCGCCTGAAGGGCGATAAAGGCTTTGGCTGGCGGGAAAGGCCATTTGGCAGCTGCTCGCCGAGCCGCTGCCGTTGCCGCCAGGAGAGTTGTTCAATCCCAGCCGCTGGGAGGACTCGAACATGTCCCTCACGGCATGGAAGTTCTGCTGCTGGCCCGGGTAGACCGCCGCCGGCGAGGAGGAGGAGGCCGACGTAGCCGAAGCGGGGCCCAAATGCGTCAGCTCGCCTACCGCCGAGGCTTGGTTGAGGTACCAAGAGGCCAAGCGGCCGCCGCCTTGAGGGTGCCCCTCCTGAGGGCTCAGGCTGAGGGAAGAGGCGCTACTGCTACTGCTGGCCGCCAGGCTGTACTCGGGCAGCGGGTCCGGCTCGACGGGGCTGCTGGCCAAGTGGCCCCCGCCGCTTCGGTCCCCTCCGCTGTTGAGCCCCGTCCCTCCCCCTGAGGCCGCACCGGCGGCCGCGTAGAGACTCATGGCCTGCAAGTTGCAGTGGTAGCTGGTGCTGGTGCTGGTGGTGGTACAGCCGCCCGCCGGCGAGGCCGCGCTTCCCGAGCTGCTGGTGGTGTTGACGCCCTGACTGCAGGGGGCGCTGTAGAGCGAGCTCTGAGCCGCCGCCGCCGCCGGGGAATAGCAGCTGCTGCTCAAGGCTAGAGCGGCTGTCCTGGAGGTGGAGGTGGTGGACGAGGAAGAGGAGGAGGAGGCCGCGGAGGAGGCCGCGGACGGCGGCAAAGCCAGGAGTTCGGCGGGGGCGCCCTGAGGCGAGGTGCGCAGGGAAGTCATGATGATGTTGTCCACGCTGAAGCCCCCGCCGCCGGGAAGATGGTGCGCCGGGGGGTGATGGAGGGCAGCGTGGTGGTGGGGGTGCGGATGATGGTGGTGGGGGTGCTGGTGAGGATGATGGGGGTGGTGCTGACTCGGCGGCTGGGACTCGACGGCTCCGCTGGATTCCAAGCCCAGCGCTCGGCCACCGCGCGGGCTGCCGCCGCCGCCTCCTCCTCCTCCTCCGCTGGAGAGGCTGCTGGTGCTGGAGCTCTCCGGGCTTTCGATCTTGGGCACGGGCGCTCCTCTCAGCGGGGACAGGGCTTGCGGGGGAGACGCCGAGCCGTTCTCCGTCTTGATGTCCTGAAGTCTGACGGGGGGAGGCGGCTGCTGCTGCTGCTGCGGGCCTCCCTCTTGCGGCTGGTGCCGCTGAGGCGGCGGCGGCGGCGGCTCCTTCAGCTGGAGGCGCTCCTTCTCCTCCTTGTCCTTGACGGCGTCTTTTTTCTTGAAGCGGCGGCGGCGGCGGAGGAAGGAGCCGTTCTCGAACATGTTGTAGGAATCCGGATCGAGGGTCCAGTAGCTGCCCTTGCCGGGCTTCTTGTCGTCCCGGGGCACCTTGACGAAGCACTCGTTGAGCGAGAGGTTGTGCCGGATGGAGTTCTGCCAGCCCTGCTTGTTGTCCCGGTAGAAGGGGAAGCGCTCCATGATGAACTGGTAGATGCCGTTCAGCGTGATCTTCTTCTCGGGCGCGTTCTGGATGGCCATGGTGATGAGCGCGATGTAGCTGTAGGGCGGCTTGACCAGGTCCTTGGGCTGCGGCTGCGGCGGGTACGGCCCGTACGGCCTGCCTATGCCGCCGGGGCCCCCGCCTCCGCCGGGGTACTGCTCATGAGCTGCCGGGTGAGTCGAGTACATGCTCATGGGGGCAGGCATGGCCGCGTAGCCCCCTCCGGCTGCCGCCCGGTAGTAGCTCTGCTCACCGCCAAGGTAAGGTACCACTCCCAGCGAGTTGGGGCTGGACACCGAATAGCGAGCCTGCATGGCCTCCCTTCCGGCAGCCCAGCCGGACCAAGCAGCAGCAGACTGGCCGCCTCCTCCTCCGCCGCCTCCGCCGCCGCCTCCTCCTCCCCCGCCGCCGCCTCCTCTGCTTTCCCCCCTCCACCCCTCCGCAAATCCGGAGCCAAAAAAGTATAAACCAGGAGAGGCGACCAGGATTTTCCTTTTTTCCAAAAAGAAGAAGAAGAAGAAGAAAAAAAGCGGGGGGAAGTAAACCAACCTCCCCCCCTCCCCTCTGGATCCTATTCGGTTTTCTCCCTTCCTCGGCTCAAAAGGAAAAGGACCGCAAAAAAATAATCAGAAAATAAAATAGCCAGCGAGCAAAGGGAGGAGGGGTGAGAGGGGGGACTCGATCTCCTTCCCTCCCCCCTCCTCCTCCTGGGTTCTTCTTCTTAAACCGAGGCGCCGACACTCCACGGAAGCGGCCGCCGCCGAGAAGAAAAGTTAGTTACTTCCATCGAGCACAAAAATAGAAAGGCGCTCACTCACGGGAGCCCGCTCCGTTTCCCGAGCTGTTTTTTCCCGCGGAGCTCGCCAACAGATTGACCAACGCTGTCCCAGCCAGGCGAAGTAAACAGCAGGCAAGAGAGGAGAGGGGGGAAAAATGTGGAGAAAGAGGCCCCGGTCCGGATCTCTCTCTCTCCCCCTCCTCTTCCTCCTTTCTGGTCTAAAGCTCGGCTTAGGACGAAAGATCCACCTTCTCTCCAACGCCTCCGGGTTGAAGGGCTGTCCCGGTCTCCGTCTCGGCTTCACTCTCCTTTGCTTGAGCCGCGAACTGCTCGGAAAGGCGCCGGGAAAAAAACTTCTGAACTTTTGAGCATCCGTCGCGGAGGCAAAGACTTTTTTACGCACTCGCTGGAGTTTCCCCCCTCCCTTCTCCCCCTTTTCTTTCCAGGCCATGAAGCTCCGCCCTGTCGGACTGCGCAGCCAATGAAAAGGCGGAGGCGAGTTCTGAATGGGCGTCGGAGAGAAAACGTCGCTGCTTAATACTCCAGAAGTTGCTGCCGTCGCCGCTCGGAGGGTTACAGTTGCTCTCTCTCTCTCTCACACACACACACACACACACACAACACACACACACGGACCCCTCATCCATCTCTCCCCTCCCATATACGGCTTCTCTAGCCCCCTTCCTCGCCCAGGACGTTTGGTGGATCAAATGGCAGTTATCTACTCGTCCGGAATGAAAACACGCACGCCCCAGTCACTCATCAAGAGGCAAACATCGCTTTAACCACAGCAATATCTTTGTTAATACCCCTAGGTATTTTGGAAGGCTTTGCAGAAGATTAACCGAGCTTGCGATAGGCTCAACGTTAGATTTCGTGAGGGTGGGGGAGATATTGAGGTGGTAGCAGATGATACAGGGAAAGGAAATCTTGTTAGCTGTGCTGAACGGAAAGAGAAATCGCCAAACCCGTTTGAAGAGTGTTAAATATCTCGGCCTGACCCGGTTGCAAGCGGTACTGTAGCGGGTTTCCAGAGCTTTTCATCAGACTGCATCTACTTTTTTTTTCCATTCCAAGAAGGGGTTTGGCAAAATGGGTGTGTGTGTGTTTCTAATCCATCGTTTGGAGATTTTAAGCAGCAATATAAATGACTTTCAAAGGGAAACAAACAAACGGGAACCCTAACTCTCCGCGTGTGTCCAAACAAGTTGAGATTTTTCTATGAATCTTGCAAAAGAAGAGCACGGCTATGAGAACATAGCGTCTCTAGCAACATCTAAAATGTGTTTGCAAATGTGGATATTTATTGGCAATTTGGATGCGAGCGAGCTCTTCCCTCACTACGGTTTGTACGGGAGGCTCTTACTCGCCTGACAGCGCTCTCTCAGCGCTCTGATACTCTGATCTCCTCCCCCTTTAAGCTTGGTGGACTCTGCTCACGACTTCGCCTTACCTGAATGGCAGCGACTTAAAGCCACCCGGTTACCCCCATCCCTTCTCTCAAGCTTATGCCTCGCTTGGCAAGGCCTTGGGTTGCCCGAACGAGACTCTCTGATCTCCCCCATCGGGCCCTGTCGCCTGCCTGTATGCGCGCTTCCTTCTTCTACAGCTGCCCAGAGTTTTCTCGGAGGTTACTGCTTCTCCCGGAGTCATCAGGGGCTGCGGGGAGGGGGGAATGGCAAATGGCCTTCCAGTCACCCCAGAAGACTGGCTCAAGGTGAGAAGGAAAGAGACACCCCCCTCCACGCCATGTTTCCCAGGTCCCCAAAACCTCACCCTTCCCCGCTCCAGCCAGCTGTCTGATCCAACTTCCAGGGACAGATTCCTTTCTTTTCCTAACACTTGACCAGCTTTTGACAAGTATTCAGGGAGGCAGGCGGGCAGGATTTAGGAAAATCTGTGTGTACAACACCGTCCCCGTCCCCCCTTAGTTAACTTTATAAGCGATAAGGTATTAAGCCTCTGTGTCAACGGGGTGGGGGGAGGAAGGAAGAGAATTGAACGGGTCTGGGGTCATTCCCACTCCCCCAACACATTGCCTACTAATGAAATAAACCCTGAGTTGCCAGAGACTTTTCACAAAGAACCTCTCTGGCTGGTCTTCTGTGAGGAGAACCAAGAAAGATGGCTGCTGATTTTGGGGGTGAAGAGAGAAGGGAGATGGAGAAGGGAGATGGAGAAATCTGGTAGACTCCCAATTGTGACTGCCCGGCCCTAAAAGCAGTCCATTTCAGAACGATGTAAAAAATGATGGGTCGAGGAAAATATCACCCTCGTGTTTTAATATAATCATTCTAGAGCAATCTAGCAAGGAAAGTTACAAGGTTGGGGGAAAATGTGTCCAGACTTTACACTGACATTAAATCACTTCTGTTATGCCCTTATTTCCCCAACTTTTCGGAAGACTTCTGAGAAACGCCTTTGACAGACAGGAGGAAACCCTTTAAGGATAGAAGGGGAGATTAACAGGGGCTGGGCTTAAAAGCCCCTTTGCCTTATTGAGGACGCAGCCTGGCCAAAGTGAAGAACCCTAAAAGCCCATTCAGGCTTCCAGATTTCCTCCTGTTGATCTCTCCCAGATCTGGATCGTCCAAAGGTGCTCTGTGTTGTGGGGGCCATTGTTCTGCACAAGGTCTTGCTGAAAGAGTGACAACAGTAGCCCAAGGAGACACTTCGAAGAGTCCCTTTTGCCTCTCCAACCACAGCCCCAGGCCAGCGGGACTTTCCTGGCTTTTTACCGGGAGATTGGTGGTTCTTACAGCATCGCACCTCAGCTGAATGTAAGAACAGGTGGCAGGTTTGTTTTTTTTTCCTTTCTCCAGCCCCTAGTCCTCTTCCTGTGTCTTGATAATCAACCCTAATTGTGACTTGATCAATCATTAATAGGAACTATTTTTAAACATGTCCTGGAAGGGGGATGGGGGCATGCATGAGAGTTGATATCAGAGGCTCACTTCATCCCGAGGTGTTAATTTGTCCTTTACACAAACAGCAAATTCTGTCGCTCCCTTTCATATCCCCTTTTCCCAAGCCCCTTGGAGGCTGGGCATCCCGTATCCTGGAATATTTTTCCTCTTGTACAGCTGATGAGCGGGCAGTTCCACTGTTACTCCAGCCGCAGCTCCTCCGTTATGAAAACTAACTTTGATTCCAAGCCTGCCCAATATCTTTGGCCGGTATTTTTTCCCCATTGATCTTGAGAACCAATTGTGGGTATTAGCAAGGGAGGGGGCGTTGGGTGGACAGCTGAAGTGAGGTGTTCCTGCAAACTCCTAGCCTGACCTTAGGCTGTGATTTATTTGCCAGTGAAGATTTGTTTATTTATTGCTATTATTTATTTATTGGAAAGTACATCCAGTTAAGTTCAATAGGACAATCCCCCAATAATTGTCACATTCTGCCTTCTCTCTTTGCCAACGTGTTTATTGATATCCTACTTTTATTGTTTTTTTAAAAAAAAAAAATAACTCAAGGCAGTGAATATATCTAATTGACTTTCCTCCTCCTATTTTCCCTACAACAACCACCCTGTGAGGGGTTGAGAGAGTGTGTGACTGGCCCAAGACCACCAAGTTAGCAAAGGTGACAGCTACCCTCTCCAAATTTAGTTGGCGGTTAAGTCCTGCCAAGATCCGTGGATATTATTCTCCAGAGGTTGTAACTCTCTAGACCCCCCAAAATGGCATTGTCCCTTTCAATTCAGCAACATTTATTCCTGAATTGTCTGTCTAGAATTGGGCTACCAAGATTATTGGACATAGTTAAAGTTGACTCTGAATTGGGGACGTCAAATATTGTGACATCTCAGCTCCCTTGTTTCAAGCTAAAGAGTTGTTCAAAAGCGAGGCCTGACCTCACACCTCTTTACACACCAAGAGCACATGTCCGCTGACCTAATTAGAATTCACCCTTCAGTAAATGAACCCAGAGTTTCAACTGCCAAGTATATCATTGCTGGTGCAGTTTACATGGGTCTTGGGGGCGGGGGGGCGGGGGGGGCAAACTGGACTCCCAACTTAGCCTCTTGGTTTGCTTCTGTGGCGGGTATGGAAAGAACCCCTTGTGACTTGGGTGATCGAAGTCTCTGGTGTGATTATGACCAGTTCTATATTCAGGAATCGAATGCCTGTTTTCCCCCACCTGGTGCTTTCCAGATATATTGGACTACATTTTAAAAAAAAATTATCGGCACAATTAATAAGGTTCTTGACTAAGTACGATCGGAATATCCAACACATTTCGAGGGCACTTTGGCCGGAGACGGTTGTCAAGTCGGTATTCCGCTACAAGGCGATGCTGGAATCTGAAGATGGGAAGAATGCTTCCGTGTCTTTGTCCTCTCCCGCGAAGCTGAGTTCCCAGCGCAATTTCTGTCTCCTGTTTTTGAGATCGCAGTTCTACAGATCCCTCTCTTTGATCTACGGTCAGATTTGTTCCTAAGAAAGGCCATTCGATGTGAATAGGTCCTAAAACCGAACGCCTTTCGATTCAGAATGGCTTCAGCGCATCGTCATTCCAAATATCTGGATTTTAAGGATGGCCGGCTCGGGATTTGTACTCCTGGGTTTTTACATGCTCCTCTCTGGCTTGAGAGCAAGATAATGGCCGATCCTGAAAGCATCGACTTTGACCACCAAAGCAGACTTGTTTCCAGTTCAATTCCACGGAGGGGGCCGATCTGGCTCCCGATTCAACCACCCTGAAGCCATCGATAAAATTGATCAAGTGAAGCGGATTGAAATGCTGGTGGTTGCAGGAATTAAGGAAGGGAAGCAAATGACTGATGTTACTTTTGCCAGTCAGACCACCACCACCACCACCCAAAAAATATTCCCAGATCAGTTTGGAGGAGGGAGAAGGAGCGGGGATAGCTGCTGAATATTCTACTACCAGCCATCCCACAGCTTTCAAAAGTTTTTGTTTGTTCGTTTGTTTACTTTGAAGACGTGGGACTACTAAACCGAAGGAATTTGGAGTAGGGGCTTGGCTTACAAAACTATCCTCAATGAATATTCAACGACCTGTAAAAGCGTTCTTTCTTCAAAATCAGTGCTTTGTTTATTCGGAGGGGCATTAGCGAAGATCAGGTGCGGAGAAAGCTTTTCCTCCCACTAATTTTAGCGGAATGTACTTCTGAGATAGAGTAGTGTTAGAAGATCCATTTCGTCAGTGTCTCTTCCGACTGCTTCGGTCCTTTCTGCTCCTTTGCCTTTAGGACAGATCTTTTCCTCTGGGCTCAAGAGGGATAAGCAAAGACAAGGGGCGAGCGGAGGAGTGGTGGTGAGGGGAGGTAGGATTTTACTCTCGCTGCTGGAGCGGGACGCCGTCCTTTAAGCAACGAGCTGCGAAGAACTCAACCCCAGGAGGACTAAAGGGCTAAAGGGCTAAAGGGCGCTGGCGAGGCACAACCGCTTTCCCGAGGAGATCCCACCGGGAGGATCCGTCCTGTCTACCTTGCAACCCGAACACTGAAGATCTGGAGTATTGGAAGCATTTAAGCAGGTGCTCCCAAGGGAAAGTCGTTTTTTTCTAGATCCTGCACGTTTTCAAAACGAGCACATTTAATTCGAAGAACAAAATCCTATTAACAACCTCCCTCCCTTGCCAAATGCTTGCCAAATGCTAAGGGAGGACGGGAAAAAGAAAACCAGTTTGCCCCAGAAAGCTTTATCTCTCTTCAGGCCTCTGGTTCGTGTTTCCTTTTCTTCCTTGGTCCCAGCTTCCTTCCTGTCTGTCGCGGCTTTTCGAAGGCGGGGGGGGGGGGGGGGGGGGGGGGGGGGAAAGGGGAGAGAAGACGTGGGGTAACGCGTTGCGAGTCGTTAGCTTTCTCCAACCTAATGCCAGCCTGATGTGACATAACTACAGCTTTCATCATCCTCAGCTAGCCGCCTGACGGGAGTTATTGCCCAACCCCTCTGGAAGGCATTAGGTAAGGAATATTCACAATTTGTGGTTCTTAGCTTTCTATGATAATCTGTTTTGCTTATTTGACTCGCGGGCGAGAAACTGAATTGATCTCAATAGAGAAATACAATCCCATCCTGACTTAATGACTTCTCCGGAGTAAACCCATTGAGTTCCATTGTCTTTCCTAGGGGGTAAATAACGGAGCCACGGCTCTCCTCTCAGCAGGCATTGTGCGCTACCTCCTGCCCTATTCCTTTCCCGGAAAGCTCGCCCGTGCAAGTCCAAGTTTCCATACATTAACAGCTGAAATACCGAATACTTCTGATTTTTGCAAAACGGGCGAAAAGCGTTGGTAGCTGCTGCTATTCTGCTGCTATCCTTCGGCCCGGGCCAGTTCAGTCCCTCGCTAAGGGGTGGGTGTGGCAGAAACTGGCTCCCTCGCTTTCCGCAACTGGCTTAATAAATTAATTAATCCACATTAATCGGGTTGTTTCCTCTTCCTTGCGTATGAGTGTAGAAACCGGCTGATGGCGCTGCGCGTCCCCCACCTTAGAGAACGCAAGAAGTTACCGGAGGGATCCCGCATTCCTACTCCGCGCATTTCATGCAGAGCAGAAAGGAAGCTGGCCGAGCTGCAGTGGGAGAGTGGAAGGAAAAACAGCCCCTTCTTCCTGCGTCCCGATCCCCAATTTGTCGGCAGGGAGACCTGGTTTTCTCAGCGTAAGCCAACAAAAGGAGGCGACTCCAGTTGCACTTATTTCCACCGCGCGTCCCGGTTACGGTTCGAGAAACCTGCGTTGATAAAACATTGGTTTAAGGTAACCCCGGGTAAGGTGGGGGGGGGGGGGGGCGTGTGGCCGCCGGTCGGCTGTCTTTGTGTCTTGATCAGAACTTTTCCTGGTTTTTTTTTTTTAGGGTTCAGAGCGCCCCCTGATGGAGCAGGGTTGCAATAATAATTGTCGTTTTTGAACACCCGCTTGGGTGCTGTTGAGAGGAGAGGGCAGCCAACAAGACTTGCAAAACCAAATCCCTTTCTTGTCCAAGCGGCCCCGAAATACCAGAAAGGTGTATAGTGAAGGTAAGGAAGGGGGTCGGGGGTGGGTTTGTTTTCTGCTCTGTAGTAAATGATGAGATGATGATGATGATGATGTGCCATGCACACTTCTGAGTGTCAGTGAGGCTTCTGGGGCACAGCGATCTGCATGGTAGAGCTGGTGGTGGCATCAGTGATGTCACATCACGTACATCAAGCTGTCATTGTGCAATTAATGCCCATTATGTCATCAGGCTTCCACTGGACGCCTGTATCTAAAGACCCCGCCTAGTGAAGTCATCTTTAGATCGAGCAAATTAAACTTATCTCTAGAGACATTTCTACAATCGGGGCAAGAAATTGAGACCCTTTCTAGGAATTTGTAACATGTTCAGAAGCCCATTGCTGGTGCAGCATAAAGCCCATCTGCTGGAGAGGCAGTTGAATGATGTTGTAGATCCCTAGTATGCAAAAAAAAAAAAAAAAAATCTTGTGCTTAACTTGACAAATTGTGCTAAGTCCTGAAGGTGGGTGCTGCTGCTTGCAACTCAGTATGTTATGTGAACGTGGTCATCCTCAAACAATGACTAATGACTTAGCTCTAGTCTAAACCCAGCAATCGTGGCTTAATGTGATTGGTGAGCTCAGCTGACAGGTTATAATCAGAAGTCTCATTGGGATTAGAGCAGAGGGTCTTCAAAATAGGATTATGAGGGCAACTGCAGTAGAAATCATGCCAGTGCACCCAGAGGTGGCATTCAGCAGGTTCTGACCAGTTCTGGAGAACCTGTAGCAGAAATTTTGAGTAGTTCGGAGAACCGGCAAACCCCACCTCTGACTGGCCCCGCCCCCATCTAGTCTCTGCCTCCCTAGTCTCAGCTGATCAGCTGGGTCTCCTTTTGTTGCCCTGCACAGGAAAACGGAGCTGGAAAGCAGGTCAGTGGGGTGGGGAGAGAGTGCGGATTTTGCAGTAACCTTCCCCTGCCACACCCACCAAGCCACGCTCACAGAACCGGTAGTAAAAAATTTTTGAATCCCACCACTGAGTGCACCATTGATGCAAATTTGCAAATGATACCATTGTCCTCCTGCAGATGCTCTTTTGTGCCCCTCTGCTTATATTCCTATAAACTGGTATTAAGAGGCTACTACATCTGATTTCAGACATAAATTGGGGAAAAACTTCACTTATCCATCAATTTCTGTGATTTTTTTTAAAATTCAGTTCATACTGGTAGTCCCTGACTTACAATAGTTCCTTTAGGGATCGTTCAAAGTTGCAACGGCCCTGAAAAAAAGGGACTTATGACAGTTTCTCACACTTATGACCATTGCAACATCCCCAAGGTCACATGCTCAAAAGTCAGATGCTTGGCAACTGGCTTATACTTATGATGGTTGTGGTATCCCACCTGGGGTCATGTAATACCCCTTTTGCCAGCTTCTGACAAGCAAAGTCAATGGGGAAGCCGCCGACCTGCTTAACAATGGTGGGACTAACAACTGCAACAATTCATTTAACAACTGTAGCAAGAAAGGTCATAAAATGGGGCAAAACTCACTTAACAAACGTCTCATTTAGCAACATAAATTTTGAGCCCAGTTGTGGTCGTAAGTGTACAGCATTTCAACCCCAGTGGTTGTGGACAACTCTCCGCAGATAAGGATTATCACTAGTCCACTGCCTTCGCTGAATCTTCATCGTACAGTGCAGTCTTTTGGAACATCAGAAATTCAGGTGGTGATTTTCCAACCCTCCATGCCCCAATAGGAAGATGTAGCAATGAAGAATACTTTGCTCTCTCTACGCTACTTTCTGCTATCCTTCATTTGAAAGGTTTGGGAGGAGCATGGTAGCAGTTCGAATGTGATTGCAAGTGTCAGGCATTTCACCCCTAATGAAAATTGTGCAAGCAATTTTGATAAGTTACAAATTGCCTCTTCTATCTCAATCTCAAGGCATGCCAAGCCAACACCCACAGAACAAGCTCTGAGGTCACCTCCTCATTTATGTCCAGCTAATCTTCCGAGAAAAGAGGACCGTGAGGCAGAATGGGGACAGACCAAAGCTGAGCTGTGCAAAGAAAAAAGTAAAGACATGCCTTCTAAATATGTAAAACCAAAGATGCAATCTCTAACTCATTTACTTTGGGAGTAAGTCCCACCGAATACAGTTTAGCTTGCTTCCTGTGGCACCAGCTTGGATGGAATGGCAAAGGATTATTTTGAAACAAATAAACAGTGGGATTTCCAAGGTATAGTCTGTTGCAATTGCAGGGACAGCTTAAGGTGAGAAACCAGACCATTCAGAATAGACCTAATTGGTGATAATTACGAGGGTGGTTAGTGATCTTTCCCTATCTGTAGTTTTTGTGTCACCAAAAGTATTATTTGCAATTTGTGGCTATTTAGGCCCAAGGTTTACTCTTCTAAAAACCAATAATGTAAAGAGTCCTTTGAAAAAAAAAGCAAATGTTAATCACTACAACTGTGTGTGGGGGATTTGTCTGGGCTACCAGGTATAACAGAAAGGGGCAACTTTTGGGTACCTAAGACCATTAAAATATTTTTGAAGAGGCAAGGACTACAGTACATGGGGCAGTGCAGTATATACATATATGATCAGAATTCCCATTCCCTTTTTGTTTTCTTAAGGGATTTTTAAAAATGTATGTTGCATGTATTCTTGGAGTCGCCAGGAGTAAAAATTATTGACTCAAGGAAGAAAAATTTAAAACCTGTTTTTGAATTCTACACTTTCATGAACTTATTAGGTTCTGGGATCAGAGTTTGGTCACTTTTGATTGTAACTGAATGTTTTCAAAGTATATGTTGCAGAGAAGCATGCTCACTCACCTATTTCCTCCCCTTTAAAGGAATATTTGAAAACCACTGCTACCTCCATCTGCCTCCTTAAATTAGCTTCTCTTATAAGATAGATGGCTAAGAATGGCAATAAGAGTTTGAAGCAGTCAATTTATCCCTGTCAATAAAACTTCAAATTGCTGGTAAGATTATCATGTGGTTGATGGCCTGTCTATGAAAAGTGGGTTTCTCCCATCTACTGAAAATTACATTTCTGTGAAACAATTTCTTCTTAAATATCCTTGTATAGCAATATTAAATTTTTTAGATTCGTTTTTAGCACAGAGAATCGAAACAGGCAACTGCCCTTCTACAGTAAGAAAGTATTAAATGAGAAACATGTGAATCATCATAATGGAATGAACTGAAGATGCTATACTGCCAAGTAAGTACTCCGGGGCTCATGAAACTTACCCCTTGAAGGGTTTGGATTAAGAACCAAATTGCAAAGAAAGTTAAGAAGAACAATATCACCTTATTTAAATATATTTGGATTAAGAAACTAACTAGACCAGTAGACTATTAGATGATAGGTGTTGAAGATGTGCTAGACGATGATACTCTTGAGAATATTGTGCATAGCCAAGAAAACATACGGAACATTGAATCAACTCAAAGTTCACTCTGGAGGCACAAATGGCCAGGCTCAAATTATCCTGCTTTGAACCCATTATGCAAAGTTTCACCTCTCTGGAAAAAGCTCTAATGCTGGAATAGGTGGAAGAAAAGAGAAGACAACAACCAGTAACACCCATTTTACTGACATCCATCGGTAAAATGGATGGACTCCATTATTGGGATGATGGGGGTTTACCATTGGAAAACCTGAAGGACCAAGTTTAGGGGTAGATTGTCATGGGGAAAATCTATGTAGTTGCTAAGAGTTGATACTACACATAATTAATCAAAGAGGAAGATAAAGAAATGGCAGAGAAACTGCATGAATTCTTTCACTACTGGGATATAGGACAGGTGCACTTCCTTATTTTGGAGGGGAATCAGATGAACTGTTACAAGAGACAAGTTATAAGCTTCCGTGACATTTTAAAACAAATAAATCCTGGGTCCATCCACCATCCGTTGTGGGGGGGGCGGTTTCCTTAAAAACTCAAATGTGAAATTGCTTATCTTCTAATAAAAATATACAACTTCTCTTTAAGATCAACAGCAGCTCCTGAGGACTGGAAAATAGCCAAAGTAATTCCAGTTTTTAAAAAAAAGGAATTGAAGGAGGATATAATGAAGATTATTTAATTAATTAACTTAATGTTTGTTCTAGGTAAAGTGTGTAATAGTATAGTACAAGTATATTACTATAATTAAAAAAGAAAATAACCAAACATCCAGAGTTTACTGAGAAATAACCAATATAACATTTGCTCCAGTAAGTTTTGTCTTCTTAACTTCTAAGTTTTTTTTTGAGAGAATCAGCAAAAATATACATTGTATGATATTAACTATTGTTTCTGTGGGCTTTCAAAAATCCTTTGATGAAGTTTTTGGCTGAAATATTTTTTTATATGTTTTAGTAAATAGTAATGGTGCAAACAAGTGCTAATTCATCTTTTAAATATACAGCCACTGATAAATCATACAACAAAGGTTAGTGATTAATATAAACAGCGTGTATATTGTATAAAAGAAACACGAGGAAAATTGAGATAAGAAGACAGCATTAAAGATAAAAGAACAGAGAACTGGTTACCAAACAGGAAACTAAAAAAGGGAATAAAATTACAGTTTTAGAGCGTGGTACCAAACGTGGTCCTCCATGGTTGGAATCAGTGTTTTTAAACTTGCTTATACAGAATTTGATGTTAAAGGACAGAGGTCTCCAAACTTGGGGACCCCTGTTATAGGGGAATAGCAAGAGGCTGAAATTTGCCAATGATATAAAAAGTAGGGGGTACAAAAATCCAAAGGGGATTGACTGCACTGCTGTTGTTGAAGGCAGCAAAGTAGGAACTGTAAGAGACAGACAGCAGCAGGCTGTTGCGAGGTAACTGAAGTAACTTCACCCTATGGCACAATTCAGGAGGCCTTCCAATAACAACAGCATGAAAGAACCAAACACATAACCAAAAGTGCTATTAAGAGCCACTAAATCACCCGAAGGTATCTCAATTAAGCAGATTGCAATCTTCATCCTGCTGCTATTAAAGATCGTGGGCACTTTGACTGAGCTGTTCTAATTAGACAGATTGCCAGATAAGGCTCTTTAAATGAGGCAAGCAAGCTGGGCCCGTCTCTTCTCTGGCTTCCATTCTCTGCCAGGCGTTGTCTCTGTTTTTGCACATTCTGTATTTTACCCTTTGGGGTTGCAATGTGTTTACTTGGGTCTTTGTTCCTGCAGAGAGGTGGAAGGAAGGGGACTTGGGTTTTGGTGGACTTCCAGCTGCATAGTACCATCTGATTCAAAGAAACCATGATGAATATACAACATCGTCTCATAAAATGGCTACTGGAGCTCTTCTTTTGTATTTGAAGATTTCATGACTTGCATTAGCTGGTGATCTCATATTATTCCTCTGAATTAAAAACAATACTTTTTTATTTTATTTTAAAAAGCCTTTCCCTTACTTTCAGTGGAAAAAGAAACGAAAAATCTGTTGAAAAGTTGGAGGGCATAGATTTTCTATCTATAGTTCAAAGTATTTGTAGACTGTAGACTAAACTCTAGAAATGTATGATGACTTTACATTTCCAATCAAATCTCACTGGACCCCTCAGATTCCTTCACCATTGACCATTCTGGTTAGTTCTTGTGGGAATTATGATATTAAAAAATAGCTGTAGCATCATCCCAGCTTTACACAAAGTCTTTCTCCATTATGCACATTTTAAGATAAAACATTTCAAAAAGTAGCCCGGAAGTAGTATGTCTCCAAGAATTTATTCTGGAATAGATCCATTCTTTTAAATACCATTTTTAGAATAAGTAATCTGAATGAGGATTACAGACTTGCAGGACCAACTCTGGAAACAGGGATAATATTTCCATTGGAATAATAAAGTCTGGATTCTTTTTCCATGATCTTATTCATAATTTTCATTTTATTTTTTTAAAAATAGGACAGTATCTTGACAAACTAGCATAGTGTCATCAAAATCAAACTTTGAGATAATTTTGCCCCAGATTTGATCCTGAGTTTAAGAAACTCAGTTGGACTCCCTTTGCTATCTCAACATTGATTCTAAATATCCATATTCAGTCTCTTTCATCTGCTCAATGTAGTTATAAACCTGATCCAGCCTAGCATTCATTAAATCCAGCTACCTACTACTTTAAAGCCAATTCTGCGAGAAGATCTACATTGGAAAATTGCAGAACAACTGGGTATACATTGCATTTTCAAACCATATGATTTATGTACAGATTACTCAAAAATAAGTCCTCTGGATGCTGACAGTTCTTACTTCCAGACCAGCGGTGCAAGATTTAAGGAAGGAAGGGAGAGAGCTTATTTCTCAGGGGAATTACATTTGACCCTAGGAAAAATTCTTGTTCTTTTCCTAAATTGTGAATGGATGTTACAGAACAGAGAGTACTTTGCAACTTCATGGGATTCAATAATTTTTTGTAGTCCCTCCATCAGTTGATGCTAATTTGAATTTCTAATGTAACAGAAGGAGAAAGTTCTGTCCAATATACAGAGAGTAATCACATTTAACTAACTGAAGTTTATATCATAACTGTATGAAACTCATTCTAGTGGGAGTATGGCCACAAAGCATATTATTTGAATGCCTCAGGCAGTCCATAGCCTAAACATGGGTCCAATGTCCTGTGCCAGATGAGTCTTGGAGTCTCATTGATGTTCTTGGCCAAAACTAGGTTGCCTAAATTAGTTAGAGTTATAGGAGCTAAAAACAAGATCTGAGGCACTAGAATCCATCGCAAGTCACTATTATATTAATATGATGTTATGTGCATTCCTACATAATTGTGCAGATCATGGAACCATATTTGTGCCAAGACATCTACCCCATGTACATATGTAATTTGCATGATGAGAAGATGATGCATGTGTTGTCACTTGTCCCTTCTACCCCCACCCCTTATTGACCATTCACAGGTGCCACCAATCTTAAAGTTAACCCATGCTTGGTTAAAGGAACAGATTAGTGTTAACCTGTTGGGGTTGAATGTAATAAACTCTTGTAGAAGACTCCTTACTGACTCTCATGGAGGTTGAATCATCCATCAGACACAACCACCTTTCCCTCCCTTTTTATTTTTATCAGGCATATTTAGCAGAGTCTTGTAAATACTGTTGAATAGTGACTGTCTTGGCCCAGAGAAGCATGTAGCTGTATACATTGAAACATGATGCTGATAATCAAGGGTTGGAGAATGTGTTTAGTCTACTCTTGGATGGATAACGAGAATGTGTATCAGTGAATACTTTTACAGGCAATGATTGTTAATATATATTAGGAAAAGTTTTCAACCCCAACTCTTTGATAGCTACTATTTGAATTACATAAAGAAAAGAGGAATGAATAGCATACTGCAACTGCTAATAGATTTTTTTTTCCCAAAACCCAGTCATTCCACAGTGACATAGATCACATAAGCAAATGGTTTTCATTTTTTTGAGAAATAGCTAACGGAAAGGCCTTTTCCCCTATGCCATAGAAGGCAAAACGAACCTGGGATGTTTTAGTATTAGAACATTGTCAGATAAAAGAGGGGACAAATCCTTGGCGAATTGCCATTGGTCATCCAAAGAAATTACAACATGGAAACAAGCCACAAGGAACACATTGAAACATGGTAGCTTTTTGCGTATTTTTTCTCACAGAGGTATCTCTGTTTATCAGACATCAGTAATAAATATTAAATGTAAAAATAACAAAATGAACTTTGATATCCGCTTTGTTGAAGTCGAAAAGAATGCTATGACAAGTGTCTTTCAGTCTCACTAGATCCTGGAATGCCTACATCAAAGAGGCAGAATGATATAGCGGTCAGCACTATCAGAGAGGCCCCACAAAGATATCGGCTGAAGTCCCGCCTCCTGCAGTGACTGGGTGATTTTGGCAAGATAGTCTCTCTCAACTCAACTTACTTCAGAAGACTATTGTTGTGGGGGGAAAATGGAAAGAAGTAGTGCCTGTTCACAGGATTTTATGCTCCTAAACAAAAAGTGGAATATAAATCTATTTTTTAAAACTTTTTTTTAAACAAACTTTATTGAGTATACAACTAAAATAACGAACAAACACATACACAACATAGAAAAAAAGTGGGGAAAAACCCACAAAAAATAAATAAAAGCAAGCAATTCCGCTATCAACAGTTTGTGGTTCCTTATTTGTTATCATTATTGGTATCCTATTTACAAGTAAGTCTTGATGCGAATATGTAATTACTACCTCCTTTACAGTTTAACAATATTTACTAATATATTTTCTATCTTTGTTCTGTCCAGTCATACCAACATTCCCAGCTTTTGTAATATTCTGATTATTCTTTATCCTTAAGTGCTAGGGTCAATTTATCCATCTCTGCACAGGTTGCTAACTTCTGAATAATCATTTCCTCTGTTGGAATGTCGGTTTGTTTCCAACACTGTGCAAAGGCTAATCTAGCTGCAGTAAGTATGTGCAATATTATATATTTGGCTTTTTTAGGGAATTGTCTATTAAATATCCCTAATAGGAAGAATTCTGGTTTTAATTCAATTTGCTCCGCCGTTATTTCTTCCAACCATTTTTTGATTCTGCGCCAATATCTCTGGGCTTCGGTGCAGGACCACCACATATGAAAGAATGTTCCATGTTTCTTTTTATATTTCCAGCAATTTGGATTCATGTTAGGAGACATCTTCGCTATTCTCGAAGGAGAGAGATGCCATCTATAAAACATTTTATAGGCATTTTCTTTATATGTTGCTGATTTTGGGATTTTATTATTCCTGATCCAGACCTTTTCCCATTCTAATAATGTAATGCTACGTACAATATTTCTACTCCAAGCTTGACAAACTTCCTCCTCTAATTCTATCTCTAATAAATGGTAATAAAATTTGGTTATTTTTTTTTATCTGGACCTAGTAAGATTTTATCTAGTTGCTGTAGCTTACTGTAAACTCCAAAACTTTTCTTATCCTGTCTGTATCTATTTTGAATTTGCAGGTAAACCCACTAGTCTACTCGTAGCCCTTGTTCTTGGAGATCTTGCCATGGTTTTAAAGGTCCTTGTGCCTCCAGAAGGTCTTTGTATTTTATCATCTTGTTAAGATTCCAAAGTGGAATATAAATCTAAAGGTAAAGGTAAAGATTTCCCCTGTCCAGTCATGTCAGACTGTAGTGGCAATGCTCATCTCCATTTCTTAGAGGGAGCCATTGTTGTCTGAAGACATTTCTGTGGTCATGGGGCCAGCATGACTATATGCCAAGGTGTATGAACACTGTTATCTTCCCACCAAAGTGGTACCTATTTATCTGTTTGCATTTGCATGCTTTTGAACTGCTAGGTGATCAGGAGCTGGGGCAAGTAATGGGAGCTCACCCTGTCACATGGTACTTGGGTCTTGAACTGCCAACCTTTTCTAACCACACATTAAAAAACCCTAAATATCAGCCTAGAAATTAATGCTGAACTGCCAGCCATTTTCCCATTTTCTTCTCTATCCCATCCATAGCACTCTGTATTTTGATCCTGAATTTCAGCTATAGGTGGTTTAGTGAAAGATTGGTTCTACATTTTTCTAACCTTTCCCCTCCTTCCAATCCTACAGCGCTAAATACAAGTATGGATAAATACATGCATAAATCCAGTAGTCTAAATCTAAAGAACCACATTTGACATGATTGATAACTTGAAACTACTCAATGGGATTTTTTTTGCTTTGAACCATAGATTTCCTAGCCGGATTTCAAAATGCCATAGTTTTTTTTTTTAATTCTACAGTACACTGTTTTTTAAAATGAAAAACTTATGATACAGAGGATAATTGTCTTTAGAATAAAACAAATCTCCCCCCCCTCCTTGCTCAAATTAATATATTTAGATCTTCTTGCCTTCAGAGTTGGGAGGATACATTTCACATTATCTATTCATCTTTCAGAAAGGGAATATCTAATTCTGAAGCTTTTATCAGCAAATCTCAATGAACATAGTTTAAGAGTTCTGCGCCTTTTGTGGGGTTTGCAACTACTAATATACATGTTAAATAGAGGAGCTCCAATTGAGGTTGCAAGAGCAGAGACACACTGTATGTCAGATGTCTTTCTGTGCAGGATGTAATCTTAGATGGCTATGATGCAGACTAATGGTAACTACGATGTTGGTCCAGAAACTACTTATTACTTTAATAAAAGGAGACATGTCGAAGATGACCTAAGAGCGTAAGAAAAATAATGAATAGTAATTGTATTGGGGCAAATGTTAATGGCTCTGTAGGTGTTTTGCTTCTAGACAAAGTCTACCATCGATATTAAAAATTTAATGAGTTTGTCTGCAAACTTCTCCATGCTTCCTCCTACATCACTTCTTTTTGTTTGCAATAGTTTTGGCTCTTGAGTTATGTGGCTTTTCATTTCCTCTTGCTCACTCCTTTGAGATTGCCTCATTTACCACTTTATTAACAAGCAGAAATTACTTTGTGGATACTCTCCCAAAAGGCTGCAGCCAGCCATCTTCCTTCACCCCATCTAAGCAGGGCTTCAGAGAGGTGAAAAAAAGATCAGAGATTTTCCTCTTATCAAGAAACTTCTCTAATCCTCTCCCTAATGCTTGCCAACTGTTAATGTCAGGAAAAAAAATGAATCATTTGAGAAAATCCTTTCAAGATTTGACAATGAACCAATTTCTAGTAGAGTGAAGGGGCCTCTTGATGGGTTTTTTTTTTTTAATCAAATGCTAAATAGCATGAGGATCTTCTAGCTCTTATTTCTCCACAGAGGACTGAATCGAAAGACCTACAAATCCCTTATTTGGATTTTAAATGATGTGGATTTTGTTTTTAAAAAGTGTACCTAATGTCTAACAGACATGTTCTTAATAAGTAACACAATTATTCTGTGTCCTTCTAGATGTTGCTGAAGGACAATTCAGCGGCATCTGAATTCAGGATTCTTCACCTCTCTCGGTCTCCTGGGAGCTGTTGGGGTACAAACAAACATCTGTGGGGAAATGGGTTCCTTACATGTTTTAAAAAAGTAAATCAACAGTAAAACATAAACCCCTAAATTTACTTTATTTAGAGAAATAAGGGAAGTCCACTGGAACCCAAAGAGGTTGCAGATGCAAAGAGCAGCTTCAATAAAAAAGTTTAATTGAGCAGAGCGGGAAAGCCTATGAGGAGAGGTTTTGATTGTCTATTTGCACTTTTTATAGAGTACCAGTGGCCTTTGTGATTGGCATTCTCATTATTTGTGATTTTCTGTATCTGCCGGTGATAAGTGGAGTTTCAACCTTTCTGTATGCTTTAGCTTTTTATTTTATGCATGTGGAAAGCAGATAAAAATCACATTATGTTTTTGAAGCAGAAAGTTGGGTCACCTGTGCAATATGTTCCTGTATTTTCCTTGTTTGACATACCTATCTTGTTGGCTCAGCCCAGTTTCAAGGCTTCCTTGTATGACCTGCCATCATATTTGGATCTCGGAGCATGCGAGTGTTCACAACAGCCCTTTGACTATTGTGAACAAGCTGCAGGTAGCAATGTTAGCCTCCACCGAAACACCTGAGAAACCACCACCACCACATCTGTAAAACAGCTACATGCAGCAGAGAAGCCAGTATGAGCTGTAGACCATGAGGTGAAGCTGGGAATGACTCTGTCACTTGTGGAATAGGCCACTCCAAAGAAGAAAAGCAGCTGCTGCAAGGAATCCACAGGGAGCCTCATGGTTGGATTGTCTCACTGAGATCTCCTATGACCAAGACAAGGGAAGGAGAGACAGAGGAGGGCATATTGTGCAGAAGATTGCAATGGGAAGTCAAGTATTGTGGAAGAAAAGAACCAAATCATGTCATTTCCATAGACTCAACATGTCACAGGTTGACATTGGTGGCTATTGATATCATTGGTGGCTATCAAGAACATTAAGTGTTGGAGCAAAGTAGAGTTGACTTTAGACCGGTGGTCCTTGCTATAGTATCTGTGGGGGCTCTGCTCCAGTGTAAAACCACAATAAGATTTGTGTTTGTTTATTTCTTTGATATCACCTGTGGTTTTACACTGGAGCAGGGCCCCCCACAGATACTATAGCAAAGACCACCAGTGATCGTCCTAAAGTCAACTCTACTTTGCTCCAACACTTAATGATCTCTTCCCAATCATGTCAAGTCAAAGGTCAGGGTTTGTCCAAGATATTTTGCTATCCTAAATGACCTTAGATTCAATGCTGTCAAAGTAGTAGGGGAACTGGCCAAGGCATCTCCTCCATACTATGTGTTTATCTCTGTAATCTCTGTTTCCTTCTTGGTTATGGTAATAAGCAAGAACCAAAGAGCTAACACCTGTATGTATGTAGTATAGGACCCAATATGCATTTTATTAAAATAAAAACAAGTATATGGTGCTTAATCTGGGAGCCCTCAAGAGTGTTGCCTTCTTGATCAGCATATGAGAATCCAGTCCTTGTGGCATCATTGAAAACACATTTTATCTCTCCATCCATCACCAAGTTCAGAGTATATAATTAGCTGTATTTACTTGCCCCGTGAGATTGAAAATCTGAAGATCCTCCCCCCCCCCCATTGTTACAAGCAAACTATATTAGCAACTAATTAAGGAAATGACTCTTAGTTGCCATTCAGTCACACCTCCAATGGGCTGCTTGAAATGAGTGGCTCACTTTGACTTCTATTAGGGCTGGTTTGAACCCCCTGTTTAGTTTATTAAAACCAGTCAATATAACTTCAGTTTTATGATGTCATAGACCTAAAAAAAAGCCCTCTCTGTGTTATCTATGAATTTTGTTAAATCAATTTTTAAGCATTCTCATCAATCGTTATGAAGTATGGAAATGATAAACAAGCTGCCAGAGATGTTTTAACCTTAGTTCTTGTGTTCCAAGTCTATATCTATAGGAAGCTCCGAGACTTACTTTCTTCTTCTTGTTTTAATTTGACATCATCAGTCACTGAAAGTTTGGATTTTGTTGTAACATTTTATACGTACATACTTTCCTATTTGATTTCAAAGCTTTTTACGTGAATTTCTGGTATAACATTTCCAAAACTTTTGTCTCCCTTCTCCCTTAACTACTATATTTTATTTGGCACTTTTAATGAGAGATTTTATCCCCTCTTTTCTTTGCATTGGGAATCCCTGGTCTGAAGGTCCTATGACCTATGGGAATTACTGTATGGATTCTAAAATGAGAACTAGGCAAGAGATTGAAAGGCTGCTGACCTCACCTCCTGTCCACTAATCAATTGAGAGGTATAGGACTGAAGAAGTAGCAGGTAACTGGGAAATCCTTCAGATGTTCAGGTTGTAGTGAAGCTTCCATAGATTTTTCTCATTAGGGTTAATCGGGTTAATATGCAAAAATTTAGAGCAGGGGTGTCAAACTCAAGGCCCGTGGGGTGTTTAGATCTGGCCTGTGGGGCTGCCCTGGGAACAGCAAAGGACTGGCCCATGGTGCCTCTGCCATCAAAAAGGGAGCTCAGGGGGCATGGCCCTCCCAATCTCCATTTTCATTGGCAGAGTGCTCGGGCCACCCCAGGCACCCCCAACACAAGTGACATTGAGCTGGCCACACCCACCCTACTCACCCCATCCCAGCCCCCCAAGGTCAAACACAACCCTGATGTGGCCCTCAATGAAATTGAGTTTGACACCCCTGTCCCAACTTGTGTAATCTTGATCTACTGTATCTGATCTGTTCTGTTCCCTCTGATGATGTTGATGGTAGTAGGGATAAGAGTATCTACATCTGGCTCCCCTTATACATCAGTCATAAAAATAAGATTCTTTGCAGACCTCTTTCCAACCCAGCCAGCAGAGAACAGTCACAAGGGATTGCTAATTTGGAAGGTACGGGAGAAAAAGTGAGCGAAGTCCTATTTGCTCATGTCCTAAAAGAACATTTTTGGTGTGCCAAAAAAGAAACATGAGCCCAACTGTAGGAAGAATGACCCAAAACTAGGAATTGATAATTACTTGGCGATTGAGTTTGCTATACATTAACTTGTATTGTTATGCTAATAGACAAGAGGAAAAGAAAGATTGAATTTTAAATGAAACGGAAAGGAAGTCCCTTGATGTATGCAACCTGGTAATATTAAATACTCTCACATTCTCATTTGTTCAGATTCAATTGTTGCTCTATAGAAACGAGGAGGAATCTGGTAACGTTCTGATATTTTATGAAAAGGCATGAGTTGTAGCAAACTTTATCAGTGATGTATCTGATTTTTATCACTATAGATTAAGATGGTTCTCCTCCAGTCATTGTTGTCTTGTGTTTCCCTTGATACGGGTCTGGATAATTTATGATCCATATGAGCTGGATAAACCTCCAGTTCTTACCTGCCTGGGTAAGTTGTTGTTGTTGTTGTTGTTGTTGTTGTTGTTGTCCAAGGAGTGATGTGTGGAGTATGTCTGCATTTTTCCTAACTCTTCTGTCCTCAGTCTAAGAGGATTGAAAAAAAAAACCTAAACAAAAAGAAATGTTCAGGGAAATTTCCGTAATTTTGAAGAAATCTTTGCACTTCTCTCAGTTACAAGGTTATTTTAGAGTGTGTGAACGTCCTGCCTTCCACCGAACAATCATCACTTCAACAGTGTATAACCTGTCTGGCCTCCTCTCAACCCTGAGGGAAAACATCAGGAAACAGAGCGATGACGAGATCTATAAGGGGGGGGGGGAAACCTCAACAAAAGATCTCCATGCAATGATACAACAAGCTGAAACAAATCACCCCAAAGAAATTCTGAGAGCTAATTCCAAAGCTTCCTGAGAATGAGGCTGAGGATCAGAAAGCTTTCCTCCTCCCTTTTTTTCCTCTTCTGCAGGATCTTCTGCAGGTTAGACTGGGAAGAACATGAGGTATTCTGAAAGAAGCTGAAGGCAAACTACTGAGGTTTTTACCCCAAAAATGTTGTCATCAAGACAACATATTAAGACGTTACATTGATGCCAAGGCCATGTAAATACGACCACTGACCAATAAGGACATTTGCATTTTCAAGAGCCACCTGCATTTTACAATTTCCATGTATGATCCATATGGGATGAATACAAAATTTCAACTGAATCCATGTTGATTGCTATAGGGAAGGCTAAATGTGAGCTTTTTAGTTCACAAAGAACAGGGTTGGTGAGAATTTGATCAATTTTTAAAATTATGAATGGAGTGGAAGGAAACAAGCCCAGTTTTTTTTTCTTCCATGGCTCTTGGATGTTTCAGGGTTTCTCTTCTCTCTAGTTTGGAGAGCAATTGCTGCCAAGCATTTTTGAGTCTCTTCTGCTGGTATTTTTTTTTTAAACAAATGATGACTGCCAATAGATTGACAGTATATCTGATAAGAAAAGCAGAACAGCTACGGCTATTCTCAGCATTCTTCCTTACCCTTTCCCAACTTTATTTAGTAATTTTTAAAGGCATAGAAGTAGGGTCAGTGAGAGAAAAAAAAACTGGCCACCAGATTAATACATAGCACTGCAGTGCTAACAAGAAAAGATGTGCATGAAATGTATATTTTAGATGTATTTTGGCTCCAGTCCTATGCATATGTGTCTAACTCAATTGCATGTATTTCCAAGAAAATACATGAATGCTTGGGTTATTAATTGCTTTCTTCTTCTTTTGTGCATCTTTGCTCTAGGCTTCAGCCTGTTAGCTGGGAAAGACCACACACAAGTCAGAGCTGACTCTTGGCTACTAAGTGGACACATAATCCACGCTGTTTTCTTGGAAGCAAAATGGGAATAGTGTGTCACAACCTTCTCCCAAGATGTTTTTTTTTTCACAACTACCAACACTAACCTAAAACTTGGATTCCTTGATATCCTCTCAGCTCCACTTGGCTTTCAAAACCAGACAAAGTGTTGAAAGCATGATTTTATACAATTAACCAGAAGTAAGGCCAATTTAGGGGTATTCACTTCTGTGAATGAGTGTTAGAATATATTATGAAATAGTCCAGCTATATGCACATTTTCTTGTAAGTTTCACTATTTTAATGGGCTTTATTCATAGGTAGCTGGGAAAGTAGACTGATTTATTTTCATTTGTATGGTACATTAGAACAAATGGAATTATTAAAAATAAGAGGAAAAAAAAGTTGTTCCAGGCTGCAATCCTCCTGAGAAGAAACTCATTCCTGAGCAACTCATTCCTCAAGATTAACACTGGGTGGAGCAGGCCTCTTTTCAGACATTAACTTGGATTAGAGTGACTAGATAATATTGATTTTGAGGGCGGCCATGTTTAATTTTCAAGGGGTTGTGAAATGGACACGCTGACCAATATGTTATTGCATACCTGAATCTGTTGTGGAAGTTTCAAAGATATTGTCCTGGAAGATTTACATTGCTTGCGTTAACAACTTCCTGTCCTACTTCTAGTGTTAATTAACTGAGCAAATCAAGGATGATTATCTTATCTCACCAATTACTGCTGCTTTAAGTGAATGGTCACCATTGTTGTTTTACAAACGTGCTTCAATTGGATTCACAGGCTGGGCATACTTTATTTCAAAAACTTTTTATGGCTACTGAGCCTCATCACTCCATATTTGCAAATATACCTCATCCCGTAGTCCAAAACGACATCGGGCCAACAATCTGAGCCTCACCAATGACGTTATTAAATGTCAATGCTGACTTCCTAAAGACCTTGGCTACCAGAAATTAAACATACATATATAATGGTTATAGTTGTTATTATTTTTAATTTTTATCTAAAATATTTGAAAAGAGATTTATTCTAGTTAAGGGGACTTTTCAGAGCTTTCCATCTCTTCTGAAAGCATTTTTGGAATGCATTTAGGGTTTCTTCCTGGCCTTCTCTGAAGCTAGGTATTATTCTATGAGTCGTAGATTCTGATTTACTTATAAGATTGCCTGCATGCCATCTGTACATTGTGTGACATAATTGGACTTCTGTTGAACTGTTTTGTAGTGATTAAAAATGGAGATGGGAACTGCTTGTGAGGAGCACATGCTCAGAATAAATTAATATTCCAACTTTTCAGCATGTGCTTTGTATGTGTGATTGTATTCAGAAATGCTGAATGTCCACAAGTTCATAATAATGATTTAAATTCTAAGGGAAGTGTTTTAGATGCATGCTGCTTCAAGTGTTTCACTAACTTAAATGGATGGTGTGGTCTCCAAAGAGAGTCACGATATTGGCAGGCAGTTCTAATAATAACCAGTTTCAAGAATAAAGAAACTCTATGCCCAACTATGTCAAACATTATTGCTAATGAGTATCATTTTCTTGCCAACATGTACAATTCGTTTGTCATTCTGGCAAATCTAATGGCCGCCTCATCTATCCGGAACTTTTCTTCCTTACCTAGTGTCAGGCTTCACATCTGGGCTTCACAGTAAATCACAGATTTACAGACCCTTAAATCAATTCTTGAATACCCAGCAGCAGCAGATTTCCAGACATGATGTGGTAAGATTAGAAACTTTACCGGAGACAAGAACGTAGCCTTAAATAAACTGTAGATTGCTAGCTGCAGTTATTTTTATGTATCTCTGTTATCTGAAGCTTAAAATGTCAGGTTTCTTCCGCCTGCCTTTTTGAATTAATGCATATTTGGCAAGTCACTTGAGATACTCTGGGTTTCCAACTGTGAGTAACCAACCAACCAACCAACCAACCAACCAAGGGTTTGTGAGCAAATTTAAGAAGGTGTTGCAACTGGTTGGTGAGCAAATTTAAGAAGGTGTTGCCACTGGTTGTTGGTGGTGGGACTTCAATAGGCAAAGCTGGAGCCCTGTCCGATCACATCCCTGCTCTAATTGGATAAGTGTGCCATCTGGGGAAATCACTTTGATGGTTACAGTAATCACCTCTGTCCAGATAGTGCCCTAACATTTCTGTGGTAGCTTAAGTCTACCACTGCCCTTTCTGTCTGCTCACTCACTACCCCATGGACTTTCTTCTCTTCCTTACCAGTAATGAAGGATGTAGAGTTTAGGCAGCAATCAAGGCAGCCAAAATGGAAAGGAGCTGAGTAAGAATTTGACTTCTTCAGATTTTAGTTGATATCACTGTCCATAAGCCTAAGAGTACTATGGATCAAAGGTAGCCTAATAGATATTGTGCTGTTCCGTTGGTGGGGACAAGAAAGAGAAGGCAGGGGTGCAATGAAATAAAAGGTTGAGATTGACAGGATGGGTGGTTACTGTTAGAATGTGTATCTTTTAATTGCTTTTTGCCATGGACACCTGAAGAGAAAGTAGGAGGAGAAGAAAGGAGATGGTGGTGAACAGGATGGGGTGTATAGAATGGATAACCAGACTGCTCAAAGATCCAGGCCAAATGTCACCTGAACTCTCCTTGCCACACTTCCAGAAGATCTCTGAAAATCCAGATCCCACTTTTCCAGAAGTTCTCTGAAGGTTGGTTAACAGCAAGTGTGGTGGTCACGGTTTGAAATGAAGAAAAAGTTCTCTATTTAATTGAGCTCAGAATCCACAAGACACAATGTTCATAACTCATTGTTTGATTCAAACTTGGAGGCGGCCTAAGAAGCCAAGACTATTGCTTTATATATCTACTTGGATTGTTATTTCATTAATGTTTAAAATGTTTTGGCAGCAACTTCCCTGACAGATCTGGCAGACTGGAATAACTTGTATTTTGCTGCAACCAAGTTTTTTTTTTTTTTTAAACATAGCTCATGTTTCTGAGCTTGCTTCATCAGAGTTTTTCAAAGCTATAATTCATTCCTGCAGCATTTTTATCCAGATTTTCAGATTCTTATATGGCTTTATTTGTTAGTGTTACGTTAGTATGCTTGAGGCAATTTAGAAACCATAAATCACTGTGTAGCCTAAAAATAATTAAAAGACACAAAAAGAAATTACCAGCAACCTTTCTTGAATAGCAATAAAACTGTGGATGGAGATAAAAATAGCAGCACCTGATGCCCCCAAACTTATTTTTAAAGCAGTGTGGTACGCATATTTCTCCTGAACATTAATAATGAAGGGTGCTGACATAAATATATTCATGTAGCTGCTCCCTTGGAGATTGCTTTCAGTCTGTTTGACTTAATATGTACACATTAATTACATGCTAATTCCACTGTTTTTAATTGGCGTTGGTAGGAAAGAGCCTTCCAGCCATAGATCTAACCTGACAGGTGTGGGAAATAAACGCCAAGGGCCACCATCCAGAAAGAAAGAGGAGCAAGTTAAATCCTATTAAAAACTAGTGCAATTTTAGCATCTGGATAATAGCTTCTCAAGAGTGTGTCTTTAACGAAGTGCTCAGTCTGGCTCCAAATTTTATGGCATAACAATTAGCAGCAAATAGGGGTTGAAGAGCAGCTTTTTCCGTTTAATTTTTCATCCTTCATTTAATTGCAGGTGAATTAACAAAATTATTGCATATTACTTATATAATATCAGAAGAATAGATTAGCTGTAACTTGGGCACAGGGATGGTAAGTTACTCCGCAATAACAGCCTACTCGCTTCCTGTTCACGCACATAGATCCTCCACCTGCTACTCCTGGATGGGTGTCACTTGTTTTGATGGGGGAGAAACCATTGATCAGTGATGTAGAATTGAAGAGTTGGAAGGTACCATTGACCTATCAAGCCCAACAAGCATAGGAAAGTATTTTCTGTTCAGCCTCTATTTTTAACCATAACCAGCAAATGGGAATTCCCCACCAATTTCAGTAATCACTTTAATATTAACTTCTTTTTACCATTAGGAAACTTTTATTATTGTTATTATTTATGGTATTTAAATTTATTATAGCCACCCGCTCCCATAGACCTTGGATGTATTCCTACCATTCCGTTGAAATCTCTCTTCTGATAGCTTGTGATAACATCCAAAAGTCCTCTATCCCTGCCGCTTTCGGTTACAAAGCTTCATAGACATTAAGACTGGGAGTGATCTGGAACAGTGGCCCCCAACCTTTTGGGCACCAGGGACCGGTTCTGTGGAGAGAGTTTTTTCCGTGGACCAGATTTTATGGCATAACGTGGTTGGTTATGGCTTGGTTTTACATGCTGCCTGCCTCCCTTGGATGGGGCTTGTTTCTGGCATGCTGTGTACCTGTGGGGGGCCCTGGTCTGGAAGACCTGCTTCCACCCAGACGAGGGAGTAATTATAAATTAACTTTGCTCAGGACAAACTTCTAATTTTATGTTTTCTTCAGATAGAGGTCAATCAGTAGAAGCGTCCCGTCTCTGTCTTCTTGAATCTGATGCTCTCCCTAAGAGTGAGGACAGTTGCAAAATATTTGGAGTACACATCTTGATAGAAGCTAATCTAGCTCTGCAATCACATGTGATGGTACTGGTGGTTTAAGCTATAAGAGCAGTACTTTTGTTCTGACAGAATTACCCTCATGTATAGTCATCTATTTCCTTATGACTTGCAATATTCTCTAGAGCAGGGGTGTCAAACTCGTGGCATCACGGCATCATCGTGGCATGACATATCACAACTTCGCCCCCTTCGCTAAACCAGGTGTGGCCAGCGCGTAATGCGTCTGGCCTGCGGGCCAGAGATGGGAGTTTGACATCCCTGCTTTAGAGGGAATCACAGAAGGACCATTTTTGGAATAGTCTATCAGGATTGGCATGGGATTGCAGCTATTCTATTCAGCCATCTTTGTTATAAATACTTAGTTGTGATGTAATTCTTCCCTCCCTGCCCTCATAACCCAAAAATAAAATTTCCCAAACAGCACACATTCTGTAACCTTTCATATTTTAATCTCTCTGACTTTTTAACTTGGTTTCATGGCTTCTCTGCATTGATAAGAGACAGAAGTCCAAACTGTCTCCATGGTTTTAGTTATTTTGTTTAAGTCAAATTTTAAAAGAATGGGATGAATGTCATCTGGGAATAAAATGTTTGGTACTCCTCCTGAATCTATTTTAGGCTTCTTATTTGGGTTTCCCTTTTCCCTCCTAACATAGTGGAGTTTTACTTTCATTTTTACATTTCTTAAAGAAGAAAAGATCAAGATAATTAAGTAAGCTAAAATAGGATTGCTGTCTTTTTCGGCCTTTTCAACCATAAGAGAATGCCTAATAAACATGGATGAACCAAAATCTGAAAACAACTGTTACTGTGATTCTTAATACAGTTTGTCCGTAATATAGGATGAGTTGCTCACATGATAAAATAGTACATTTACTATTCCCATGTTTGGGAAGAAAATTGTAATTCCACTCACAGGGAATTCTTGAAGTCAGGCTTCTTTTGGTTCTGATATTTAACTACTGATTTGATAACATAGTATCTGGTCTCCAAAGCACCTTCCCTCTCCTTTTTTATATGTACTGTTTGTAGTGTATTTAAATAAAGACTTCTAGGGCGATGTTCCTATTGGTTAACAGAAGCAACGATACAATTGGTTAGTAACGTTAGTACCTGATTGGCCACCAATAGCGGCAGGAAGTTTAACTAAAATGTCATTGGTTGCGAGCCATAGAGCAGCCGCTATAAAAAGGGCTGCTGCAGTTCGACTGCAGTTGAAATTACTGTTTTTATTAAAGAGCTGAATTCAACTCCGGTCTGCGAGTCTCTTTATTGGCGACAGAACACTGTTAATAGCAATAGCACTTAGATTTATGTACTGCTTCACAGTGCTTTACAGCCCTGTCTAAGTGGGTTACAGAGTGGCCAGCATATTGCCCCCAACAATATTGCCCCCGAATTTTGGAAGGATGGAAGGCTGAGTCTACCTTGAGCCAGTCAGGATTGAACTTCTGGCTATGGGCAGAGTCCGCCTCCAATACTGCATTTAACCACTGCACCACCACGGCCCTTTTTAAAACACGCTCTGGCCTTCTCCACTGATGCTTCACGCTTCAGCTCTGTCTCACAGTTGTATGCCATTCCCAATCTGTAGGCCCAGAGCCATACACAATCCCACTTGGATCGCCTTCAAAAATTATTGCTAAGTTTTATTTATTTCATCTCAATTCAAATCATAATACTTATCATTCTTTACAATTCTTATCATTAAGAAAGATAAAA